TTTTTTTTTATGAAACACCTCGTGCAGAACATATCGACGAAAGTTTGTTTTATTGACATTCTGTCGACAGACATAAATAACGTGCAAGGTATTGGGTTTGTTGTTAATGTTGCCTTGTGGAATCACCAAAACAAAGTATAGATTTGATTGAGGTGGAACACGGAAAGCTAATAGATTGCTCAAGGTAATTAAACGAGGCCTAATTTTGGTTTCGTTACGAGACTTTACAAGTCAATACGCCTCAGTAATGTATGAAAGATCATCCCTTTTGTGAACAAAACTTATAAGGAATGCGCTGTTACGAAAATAGCGGATTTGAACCCATGGCCCGGTTGATTAGAGTCATGCACTGATATCGCAGAGATAGTGCCTTCGAATCCCGTTCAAGCTTGATATTAATTTCGCTTTATTTTTTTCGAAAGTGTCCAAGTTGCGTTCACACTGCGATGTTCTTTCATGTGACATGTCTTTCTCTCGCAGTTCAACTATATGATATTATATATTCACTTGCTTAAACCGCAGTGACTGGAACCTAAAATCAAAGCAGCCTAAAAATTGTCTGTTGGTATGTAAACATACTGTATTTTGTTAAGAATTCCAAGAAGAAGAAACCTTCAGTGAAAACATAGCTTTTTCAAGGGAGAGAAACAATAACAAGAAAAATTCATAATCAAAGTATAATTATCTGTACATTCACGGGAGAAGAACATTGTAATAGATTACGAACACAGAAATGAAAAAAAAAATTACTTGTCTTATAATAGGTCACTATAATTCTTACAAGATTCGTTATCTGTGAAGACGGTCAGTTGTAATGCAAACGTTATATTAACTACGAAAATTATGCATGAATAAACACAGCTTCTCGTCTACTTCTCTATCATTTTTAATTCATAGGCTGTGGTTTTATTACTTCGTTTACCGTGGAGAACGCCGACAGACGTTTACCCGCCCTAGCCTTTGGCGCGCGGAGAGAGATTTCACTGTGGTTTATTTTCTGGCAGCTCTGGACTTGCACATTGGATATTCGCTCTTCTTGGTATTTGGGATGCATGGGCTCGCAAATTTCCTTAAGACAGTACTACAACTCTGCGGTGAGACTTTTCACGCTTAGTCGCAGAAACTCGAGTGCTCCATACGTTCTGAGGGTAAGTGCACATTTTCAAATGAACTTGGCTTATCTTTAGCCTAATCCAAGAGCTTTGAGCTTTCAGGGGCAGATTTAGAGGGGCTGGATTGGGTGGCAAGTCATTCCCCTTTTGAAGAAGCAAAACATTTTACCTTGTGCATATATTTAGCGTCTACTCGTTTCTTCTATTTATTCGTTAGTTGGATTTAGTTTTTGTGGGTTTTGTAATTTATTAGGTAGTAACAGATGAAGAGCCATTTTTTT